GCCTCTAAATTGCACTGTTTCTTCTGCATTCTCTTGTGCTTGGGAGCAATGGGAAGTCTTTTTCATAAATATTTTCATATAGTCCTGCCTGAGGTGCTAATGACCATCCCTGGCCTGCTCCCTGCTGTGGCTGACCAGGGCAGGCAGAGTGGAGGCAGCAGCTGGGCCTGCCTGTTCCCTGATGACCGGCAGCAACCTGGGCTGCACTGGGAACGGCCCCACTCCTTACCATGCACCTGGTTGTCCTGCTCTCTCTGTTTTCTGGGAATGCTAGTGTGTTCATAGTTTTTTTTAATGTTTTAGCCCAAAGATTTGGGCTAGAGGGCAATATCTAACAAAGACTGTCTAACAAAACAGTCATTTTTTGACCAGGACAACAGAAAATATATTGTGAGTAGCCATGCTATAATAAAGAGAATAGGCAGCAGTGAAATAGTCTACTTTAAGCAAGGTAGCAGAGCTACACCATGCCTTGAAGGTATGAGATAATCACAGTTTTCACAGATGCTATATATTTAATGTATGCATGCTTTTCCCATTTCAAACTCAGTTCCACTTATTGTCAGGAAAGAGAAAACTTGCAGTAAAAAAAATACCACTCACCTCTCAGCACAAGCTTCCTGACAGTGAGATACTGTCATTTTTCTTAAGTCATAAAACACAGCTCCCTTCAGTGTCCTCTCTCTTGGATCATCACTGAAGCATCCCATGTAGGTCCCTGTGTGCGTGCAAGACCAGAGTTAGGCAACGTGCATGGGATGGAGACAGGGAGAGGGAAAAAAACATCCAGTGGCAATCCAGCGCCACAAGTTGCAAGCAGGGATGTATTCCATCAAGTCACAACCTGTCTGGGGCCCTGCCTGCTCTGCAGATGTGTCCACTGGTACCAAACCTTTGTAGGTGCTATTGAAGGGGTAAGCTCAAGTGTCCAACGGAAATGAACAGAAGGGAAATTAAACTTTTCCCTTACCCAGGGGTAAGACCCAGAGTCTGCGACTGCCCTGGAGCCATGGTTCCCACAGGCGGCCGCTGTCTGCTCGACTCCCTCCCTTTGGGGACAAAGCATGGTGAATTTCTAAAGTAAAGGAGAAGGTATTCTTCAAAATGGTATAAACTTTGAGAAATCTTGTTGGATTTCTCCCAAGTTTTCTTGAAAATCTGTAGTTGATAATCAGATAGTGCAAGAGAAATATTAAGAAAATCAATTTTCTTCGGGTACACAGAATTATATTAAAGCTATAATGGAAAGATAACTTCAGTCTTAACTAGGCAACACTGTCTAGCTATCGCATTGAGCTATCTCTTTCTCTCTGGTGCAAGTCAATCTCTTGCTTTACTTAGCATATGAAAGATAAATATTTCTCTTCAACTGCATCCTACGTTAAGCCTCTTCTTTGTTGTCATGAACAAAATACTACAAAAATCCAGACCATTTTTTAAATATATGATAGCAGGGATGATGTGGAGTCCCACTATTATACAGCAATTTTGTGTATATAAGTACATTTTATCATTAAAATATGAAGGAAAAAAAGAAATTTGATTTTAGAACTAGCAGTATTGAGATGATAATGCAGGGAAATTAAATAACATGAACTATGGGCAGGAAGAGAATATATGATGAAAAATGAAAATAAAAAGCATTATATGAGCAATAAAATAATCCACAAGAAAAAGAAAGTTCAAGCTACTCTAACAGAGATTTTGGAAGTAGGAATAATAAATTAAACATTTAAATATTACAAACACAACAGTAGATTCAAAGATCTGCACATTGGCAATTTGCAAACATGCAATTAGAAAATTCACAAGGTGTGAATATACACCCACAGCATGCTGCTAACGAGATGGGAGTCACACAGCTGCAATAAGGATGTTCTACAATTTACTGGAGACTTTTGATTTGGGTACTTTGATTCAAACCAGTAGCAGCAGAAATCTCAGGATGTGGGGCGAAGGAGCCCGAGTCAGGCGGCAGGGGCAGGCCAGCCAACGCGGGTGGTGTCTGCCCTCCTCCCTGTGTCTCTCCCACGCTGCTGCCAGCCCGGCAGCAGCATCTCAGTCATGTCCTCCTAGGAATGAGTCACGGAGAGAGTCCGCAGTCTTGGAGAGGAACATCACATCAGCGATCCAGTCCCTGTCACCTCTGCATCCTGTGCGATGGCATAACCAGGCCAGGGGAGACAGTATAAAACACCCCATCCACTGGAAGCATTCCTAACAGAAACTTTTCATTTTTTATCTACAAAATTCCTGGTTTCGTTTGTTGAACTAACAGTATTTGCCAGTCTCCCTGGCAGGATAAGATGTTGTTCCTACCTTGAGCCGCTTGAAATGTAAGCAGGCAAGATAGCTTGATGTGGAGAAAAAAAGAAAAGGACTTGTATTTTCCCACCAAAGGCTGTGCGATCCTGGGTGGACACAGAACAAGGCAAAGCAAGCCGGGAGGTGTTCACAATATGCTGGAGCAGATGCCATTGTTTTTGTCTCAGGTTAAGGGTCTGCGCCGGGAAGCAGACCGAGGGCTGGCTTGCAATCCCTGCGTGTGAGCAGGGGCAGAGCGGCTGTGGCGCGGTGGGAAGCACAGGCGTTACTAGGTTGGCACTGATGAAGAACGCACAAACACAGCCTCCATGGTAAGGCAATGTGCCGCTTTACTGAGCGGGAACCGCAGGGCAACTCTGAAACTTTAATAAGCATTATAACCACGGAGGAGTTCATTATGTCTTGGAAGGGATCCATAATGAAATAACAAGCCTGTAAGTTTACTAGGAAAAGGGGGCGGGGGGGAGATAACATGCTCTACATAGGTAGTTAAATTTTTAATTGATAATTTCCAAAGGCATTCCAATGCTTGTTAATAATATTGTTATTAATAATGTCACTGCATGTTCAGTCAGATATTCAAATAGTGCATATTTGAATCTATATAATTCAGTGTGATGTAGCAATAAATAGTCCTCTGGCTCCCCTCAATCAGCAGTTAGAACCTGAGCAAGGCTCTAGCCTTAACGAACTTTATGGAAAATTTTCAAAATTAATCTTTTTGGTTTTAATTGAAGTTTTTAAAGAACAGTTTCATCCCCTGCCTGATATTAGAGTAGCTCATAAAGACTCACCACATTTCTCTACTTTTTATCTATTCTTTCATTCCTTGGGGGAAAAAAAAATCACCAAACGCAAGAGGGACTCGAGCAGCCCAAGCAGCTACAGCCCATGAGGGCAGAACCAGGCGTGCTGTCTTTACACAGCTGGGACTGGGGAAGAGGCAATGCGAAAGAGCTCTTGGGCACTGGCTGAGTTCAGCGAGCCAGGTTTACTTCACGGAACCCACCCAAACTACCTGTGCTGCCAGAGCACATGCAGCGTGGATGTACAAATCACAGGGCATGCAGAGCAAGGGAGCAGGATGTGTCCTATTTTATTTTATTGCTTTCTCTCCTCCCCAGCCCCCTCAAGTCTCCCAGTGTGGAACAGCAAGTCTGCCCAGGCAGCACCCTGCCTGAGCCCCTCCTTGTTAAATCACCAGCCTCTACTGAGCAGCTGAGACCGGGGCGTCTGCTGCTTGCAAAAGAGTGGAAAAGTAATACTTCGTGAATATTAAATACTGATTTTATGAGGTACACATACAAAAGTGGTAGCCTGGACGGTTCATGTGATTCTTTTCTGCAACTGTCCGTAAAGAGCTTATTAAAGTAGGTGGTGATCGAAGTCAGCAAAAGACATATTTGCTAAAGTGAAGGTGTGCCTTCCTCCCACAGAGAGCTGACAGTGTCTGTGTTCAGCCCTTCCCATTGGGGACGGGGATGGGAACAGGGCCATTCCCCAAAGCTTTCTACTCCCCTGCACCAGGCTTGGTCACTGGTGCACGGGATGGAGTAATTGCAACCTTGTGTTTCATGCTAGTCCAGGGGCTGTCATTAGGCTCTGAGCACCCAGGCTATGTGCTCAAGGCACATCACAAAATGCAGTGGGGTTCTCTGGGAGACATCTGCTCTTTGCAGCCTCTCTCCTCTGCCACCAAGACCTGCTACCAACAGGATGCTACAAAGCATCTGTGGAGCACTCTTGGAAGGTCCAGCCTGGTGCTTCAGGTAACTCCAGTGGTTACAGTTTGCCTGACTCATGCTGTGTGACTCATCTCCCATACACCATCACTATCACCTTCTTGTTCCCATTTCTGACAACTCACTCAATAGGAGTCACGAGGTGGCGTGCATTTTGTGTGATTTTTGCAGAAGATGCCCTTTTGTTTGGGTGAATTTATTCAACAAACTAAAGAGCAGTTTAGTAATGTGGTGTCTAGTCATCCAGATCCCATTCCTTTGTTATTATCAGTGAAATATCTGCAAGAACAACTAGTTCTTCTAAAAGGCAATGGATCAAAGATCACAAACTCATAATTTGAGGCTGCAGCCTTGAGAGCATGGTCAGTCACCTAACTTGAATTCTGATGCTTTCTGTGTTGGGCTCCTTAAGGCTTGTCTGCTCCCTGGGGACACTCAGCCTTCAGAGATGATTGCAAAGTTGGGGCTCCAGCTCCCCACTGCACAGTGAGCAGCTCAGCTGTGTCAAAGCCCAACACCATGGGCGTCCAGCTTTGTACCCCTCCCCAGAGTGCGTCTTGGGCTCAGTGAGGGGGTGCCATCCCAAATTCACCCGGGATGATGCAACTCTCTGTGGGGGGTCATAAGGGTATAAAGCCATGCAGGAAATGCGAACATCTACAGACCCGTGTTTTGCTTCTTTGCTTGTTCTGGATAATGGTTTCTGAAAAGATTTCCTACTGAAAAAAATGAAGCAGTCCATGCATGTGTTTATCAGCAACACTTAGTACAGCAGAATCGGGCTCACAGTGAAGTGAACTCACATTTCTGTCAAACCTGAGTGGATTTCCATTAGAATTGGAAAACAGACAGTTTTGTACCCTGTGCTCTAGCTGCTGATGCACTGCACCCGTGCAGTGGTGTGAATTCCTCTTGTGTTGCCCTTGACCTGTTGTAAATTTCCAGCAAACTTGCCAAACACCGTGAGTTTGTCTCTGATTCAGGAGGGTTGTATGACCCAGCATCTTGGCCCCCTAAGGACAGTGTGTTTGCAGATGGTCACAAAGGGCAGGGCAGGAACAGTGAATGTGATTGCAATAGCAGAATTTAGTATATGCTAGAAAGCTTTAGCAGCAAGGAGGCACTTCTAGACTTCAGGTATTGTGTGGTTTTGTATAGTTAATTTAATAAAACCCACTTTTAAAGTGTTCCCTGTTCTGAGAAAGAAAATCAATTAAACAGTGTTCATCTCTGCCTGCTTTAAGAGAAAATAATTTGAATTAGGGAAGCATATTTCACTGTCTGGGCTTCCATTCAATCAATAAAAATACTTTTTTTGGAGGAAGTTGCAGCTCAGCATGACCAGGGACATCAGGATCTTACTTTGGCCTGTGCATATGCTTAAGAACTGGTTTGAAAGTGATGATGAGCCAGGAGGAAGGCTTTTCTGCAGGGATACTTTGTGGTGCTTACCACCCTCTGCCTGGGATGGTCCTAGGAGGAAGTGTAGTTTATGTGCGTGCCAGAAAACGGGACAGGGGTATATCCCTTACCTTTGTGTTCAGCAGTGTGCTTCATCGCTTTAAATCCCACTGTTTGCATGGGCTCCTGATCACTGATGAACCTGTGAAACCACCTTCTTCTCAACTGCCTGAGCTCCAAGTTGCGGGACACAAGCCACTGTGGGCTGTGCTGGTCCAGGGCTGGCTCCTGCAGCGCATCCATGCCTACCAGCAGCCTGGGACCGGAGCGAGGGTTTTGCAGCATCCTGGGGTCTGCAATCCCAACCCCGGCCATCCCGTCCGGTGCCTGCAGGGCCTGATTAGTGGAGGTCCCACGTGAACCTTGCTGGATAACCAGGCGGGTCCGCTGTAGCAGCAGGAGGCTGCCAGCCATCAGGTAAGCTGCTGTGAGGAAGAAGAGTAGAAACTGGGTCCGACGGAGAAACTTCTGTAGCCTGAAGAAAGCTTTGGCCATGCCCTTACTGAAACCGGGCCCTTCACACCTCCCGATGGGCCCCTGAATCTCCGCCTGTCCAGATGCTGGTTCCTCCCATAAGTTCAGCCCATCACTTCGGTGCCTTCTCCCAACAAAAAACCTTCTTCCTGGACGGCCGTGTCAGAGAGAGCAGCCTGATGCGACACTGCCGCCAGCCTCAGGCACCCAACTGGCCAAGGGGCTCTGCACGCACCCAGGGTGATGCCATCATCATGCTCTGCCAAGCGGTCTAACAGCTGATGCTGAAACCTGAAATACCAAGGGGAGAAGATTGATTCACATCCAGATAGAAAATACCCATCATCAGGGTGACTTTCCACCACCCACTCCCTTTTTTTTTTTTCAGCTGAGCATTTCTCCATCTGTTGTTTATAATTATGAACTTGAGAAACTATAATCCAATGAGAATGATTGATTAAGCAGAAGCTAGTTTCAGATCTTCAGCCTTACTTATTTTTTTTCTTTCTTTTAACTTGGAATGCACAAGAAATACTTTTACAATGAGGTTATTTCTCTTGGGAGGTTTGGAAAAAATGTTCTTTATTTTCTTTTGTCAATAGCTGACATCTCCATTCTTTTTCACTGGCTGGAACAGGCAGCCACAGTATAGGCATCTTTTTAGGAAGGTATTATCAAATTCCTTCCTTTCAGCTAAACAGTAGCTAAGCTACAAATGCAGATCAGAAGGAAACAGCAGTGTGAGTGTGTGGGAAAAAAAATGGAATTGCATCAACTCACAATAGATAAGATAATAATTATTAATCTCTTTGCAGCACAATAAAGTCAGGCTTTATGCTGGAAGGATATTTGGGGATTCTGTACTTGCACAGAGAGCTGTGTGAGTTGCTGTGCGTGTCACTTTAAAAGAAACCAGAGATTCTGCTTTTTTTTGAGTAGATTTCTATCACCAAATATTGACGTGTGGATATGCATGGATAAAAACTAGTGAATGTTTGAAAAAGATTCATTGCAAGTTTCAGCAGATATCTCTTGACTGCTTCTGAGCTTTCCAGGCATTAGTTGTGCTGATGTATACCATGATGGGATTGTCTGGGCAAGAAAAGCTCCTTTGTGCTCTAGGGAACCTTTAACCTCCTGTAGCAAATAAAAGCTGGCATCTCCCCATAAGTTCCTGTTTTCCCAGTCAATCACTTCACTGTGGAGCCAGGCAAGTGTTGAGAAAAGATGCGCTGTTTTCCAGAAAAGAAAATATTATGGCTTTTGCTTAACTTGCAATTGGGGCACACTCTTGAAATCCACAGTCCTGGCAAAGAAACATCCATTCACTGTATTTCTTGTTTCAGTATCTCATTTAAAGTTTTGTGGATATTTGCTTACACCTCTTTCTTAAATAGATGCTACCAATTAAGTCTCGACCCATTCCCTTTTGCATTTAGTTGTGCAACTTCTTTCTATCTTAAGCGGCAATCAAAAACAAAGCTCAAAAACTTCTAGGCCAAAAATATACTCAACTGGATCTTTTGTCAATTGAGCCTGAATTCCTTTTGTGTGACCTTTCATCCTTGATTGCTGAACAGGGTTGGCACAAGGCAGGAGTTCCTGTCTTCTAGTCTTACAAGCCGGGTGGTCTTGAGGACCTGATTTGGGTGCTTTTTTAAAATATTTTTTTGTTAAAGTTCTTGTATGCTGGTCTCAATTGTATAGGGCTGAGTTATATCCAAAAATATTCTCTGTGTTTATCTCTACACTTTCTCCAAGAACTCAGGATAGTGAGCAGGTGCAAGGGCTATGAAGCTGTAGCATGCTGTAGTAAATTAAGACCACTTTCTCCACTGTAAAATTTAACACACCTCCCTTCTGATCAGCTCCAAAGCCAAAGAAAATACATTGATTTACACCAGCTAAAGAACTGACCCTTAAAGTTAAATTACTGAAAATCTCTGATCAACTTTGTGAGTGCTCAGGAATTACGGTAAAAGGGTCAGAAGTATCTAGACAGATGAACAGGAAATTAGCCATAATTAGATACTGCAGATTGTTACTGTGGTAATTTATCTGAAGAAATACTGTCTATCAGCATAGGTGTGATTTGATTCACTGGTTGTTCCTAACATGGGGCTACTGGAAACTTGAGCTATTCCCAAAACAGGCTGTCTAATCGAAAAGGAAGATGCAGGCATGTATTAGTCGTTTGAGATTCTGACTGGGAAATTACCATGCTCCTTACAGCATACAGTACTTTGAGATAAAGCTTGGCCAGCGGAGGAGGCAACCGCACACCTTGGTGGCTGGTGGCTGAGCAGACAACACGCTGTTCAAGCTGTCATCTCTAATGCAAAGAGATGACCATTCTTGATAAAACGGTGCTGCAAAGCCTCATCAGTGAGAAGATAATGGCTGCAATGACACAGGTATTCAAAAGGTTTAAGATTTTTTCCAGCAAGATTTAGCAGCAAGATGAGGCTAGATAAATTTATCAGATTTGCAGTCCTCTTTGCCCAACTGTAATTCAGGGTTTCATAGCTCTTTTGGTTTACTCACAAGGTGATCAAGTTACAATATCAAGAAATACTTCGAGCCAAAGTTCTCAAGTGGATCCAAGTAATTTGCATTGGAAACGCAGCGCTGTGGCAGCCGGGAACCTTTAGGCATTGCTAATCAGCGATGTCGAGAGTGTCAGCTGGGCTGGAGAAGGACCACCAAAGCTGTGTAGCGGATGTCAGGCATGTTATGCTTTGAAACTGTATCACTGGCCCAATTTAGTCCCTTTTAATGGCACTGTGTGCTTGAGTCTTTCAGTGGATTTCAGTCGAGTTTCTCCATGTTTGCAGTGATGTCAAGTGGAGCAGCTGGAAGCTGCATCATCCCCACGACGAGAGGATGTGCCACTTATCTGGGCAGCATGTGGCAATGCCTCCTGGTGCCAGGGAAGACAGAGCTGGCCACCACCTGCCCAAACAATGCCCGTCCAGGGTATGATGTGCTGCCTCCCATGTTAGCAGGATGAAAAACCTACTAGGCATCAACAGAACTGGAGTAACTGCCCAAGATAGTGGACCTAATTTAAGTATGCAGCAAGCTCAGCATCCAAGCACTAAGAAACGTTTGGCATTGCTCCTGTTGCTCTGCCTAGGTTGTTTGTTTATTTATTAACTAAGGAGAAGCTGCTTCTGGGTCTCAGAAAGCTAACTTTGCCCTTGCCCAGTGTTTGAAAAAGTTTGAATGGTACCAGCCAATTTTACTGCAGTCAATATGACATATATAAATTACCTCCAGATGCATTCGCCCTCAGTACAGTTGCCATGACAGTACATTGTAGTAAAACCCAACCAAATAAATAAGCAGACTCTCCGCCCACAGCAACTGCTGCAAATGTGCAACTCAAAAATTAATTGTTGCTTTTTAGTGGGGAAATAGCAGAGAGTGCTGCTAACATAAAAAAATGTCGTTTGATTTTTCCATAAACTGCATATTGCAATATCATCAAAGTATGCCTAAAAGAATTGAAGTGCATCACTTTTGATGATGGTATTAAAAAGGGAAGAGTAAGGATGATGTGAACTAGTATCTGGTAATAGAAAATGTATCATTTGTCTTTTTCATACATTTCACTTAAAATGAATGAAGTGAAATGGAAGATAAGTAGAGTCTTCTGTTCCTATTTGTCAGTTCTCACAGCCAAAGGGGTTTTAGGACCATATTAATTGAGAGTTGAGTTAGTAAAATCATAAAACGATAATTGAAAGGACTTTGAGATGGGTAGTGAGAACTGTTAAACAGCAGAGAAGACCTCTAGGTGAAGAGAGCAATGAAAGGGTTAATGCTGCAATCAAAAAATAAGGAAAATAATTAGTACTGCCAAGGATCAGCTTTGGAGATGGTGAGTGGTAGTACAGAAGATCTGCTGGGTGCTGTACCTTCAGCAAGGAAAGGATCCCTTGCACCACTAACAAAGTGGTGCATCTGGTGGCTGTGTTTTTATAAAACGGATAATTATCTGGTTATTGAGGGCAAGAGCTTGGTGGGGTTCAGAAAAGCATTGAGTGATCTTATTTTAAAGAATACGAATTTATTCACTTTACTAGTGACAGGTGAATTTTTAAGTGTTCAAAAGTCAGATAACCACTCTGTTGTGTCAACAGCATTTTCAGCTGTTTGTGTCTGAAATTTTTTGTTTGGAAATGTCACTAGAAAAAATAGGTTTGAGGTTTTTTTCTGTAAGAAATCTATATATACCAGCGGAGCTGAAAAATACATCTTACCTGAAGTCCCAGAATCTCAAAGTATGAATCTGTTCGGATCTGTTTCCTAAAATGGGCAATGCTGCGATTCTTCTCACTGTCTCTGGGAAAGCCAACATCTTAAAAGGAAGATCCCTCTAAATCTGGCATGACTTGATCACCAGTGGGTTTGCCAGCTGGTAGCATTTCCAATCTTAAGTGCTTGTTTTCTTTTAATCTTTGTTTTTCTTTCATTACATATATAATACCAAATTTATAACTGTCATTAAAAAGTTGTCATAAGGAAAAGCAGGTCAGTACCTTGCTTCCAAAATGATCTTGCAAAGTGCGACAGAAGATGTCACACTAGGCAGCTTCATTAATGTATTTGTAAAGAGAAATAAAAGAAAAATTGTAAAGTTATTGGCAATTCTACTCTCCTAGCTAAAGGAGTAGTTACAGAAATTTTAAGGGAAGACTGAATACTTTCAGTGATGTTATGAAAGCCAGAAAGACACTAAAGAACAGCCCCGGACTTGGAGGTGAAGAGTTGCTCAGTTGAGGGCTGTCCCTTAATAGGTTGCTCAATGCAGAAACTTAGGTCAATACTGCATTGACGGCTGCAACTCTCCAGTAGTTGATCTTGTCTAAAGACCAGCAGGATTTTGCAAATTCAGAGTTCTTGGCACAGAAACAAGACTATGTTTTCTATTGTAAACTGAATAGAATTGGACTCATGAACACTATTTTTAGAAAAAATCTATCCCTCTTCCACAGTTCTCCTTTCTTTTGTCAGCT